ATCCATAGCTTGTCATGATCCACACAATCGAAAGCCTTTGTGTAGTCAATAAAGCATAGGCAAACATCTTTCTGATATTCTCTGTTTTCAGCCAAGATCCACCACCTCAATTCTGTTCCACTAAACCCAATTTAGCAAACACTGATTGTGCAATTATTCTGCTAGGCAACTGAAGATGCACCAGAAATAAGGTCCTGCATAGAGGACAGATGTTATACAAGCAACTATGTTGTTGTTGTTTTTAGGTGCCATCGAGTTGGTACCCACTCATAGTGACCTTTTGCCCGATCCTGGGCCAACCTCACTACTGTTGCCATGCTTGAGTCCATCGATGCTGCCACTTGGCCAGTCCATCTCAGTGGGGGTCTTCCTCTTTTTCTCTGGCCCTCAACCTTACCAAACATGATATCCTTCTCCAGTGACTGGTCCCTACTGGCAATATGTCTGAAATATGAGAGATGAAGTTTGGCTATCCTGGCTTCCAAGGAACACTCTGGCTGTACTTCTTCCAACACAGATCTGTTGTTCTTTTGGCAGCCTATGACACGTTCAATATTCTCCTCCAACACCATAACTCAAAAGCATTAATTCTTCTACGGTCTTCCTTAGTCACTGTCCAGCTTTCACATGCATATGAGGTTATTGAAAATACCATGGCTTGAGTCAGGTGCACCTTAATCTTCAATCTGACATCTTTGCTTTTCAACACTTTAAAAAGGTCTTATGCAGCAGATTTGTCTGCAATACATTGTTTGATTTCTTGACTGCTGCTTCCATGAGTGTTAATAGTTGACCCAAGAAGAATGAGGTCCTTGACAACTTCAATCTTTTTTCCATTGATAAGAATGTTGTTTATTGGTCCAGTGGTGAGGGTTTTGTTTTCTTTACACTGAGATGTAATCCATACCAAAGACTGTGCTCTCTGATCTTCATCAGTAAATGTTTTAACTCCTCTTCACTTTCAGCAAGTAAGGTTGTATCACTTGCATATCGCAGGTTGTTAATGAGTCTTCCTCCAATCCTGATGCCATGTTTTTCGTCATGTAACCCAACTTCTTGGATTATTTGCTCAGCATACAGGTTGAATAACTATGGTGAAAGAATCTAACCTTGTCACACACCTTTTTTGATTTTAAACCATTCAGTGTTCCCTGTTCTGTTCAAACAACTGCCTCTTGGTCCAGGTACAGATTCCTCATGAGTACAATCAAGTGTTCTGGAATATTCATACCTTGCGATGTTGTCCGTAGCTTGTCATGATCCACACAATTGAAAGCCTTTGCATAGTCAATAAAGCACAGGTAAATATCTTTCTGATATTCTCTGCTTTCAGCCAAGATTCATTGGACATCAGCAATGATATCCCTCATTCTACATAATCTTTTGAATCCGGCTTGAACCTCTGGACGTTCTCTGTCAATGTATGCTTGCAGCCGTTTCTGTATTACCTTCAGTAAAACTTTACTCATATGGGATATCAAATATATTGTCCGATGATTTCTGCATTCCGTTGGGTCACCTCTCTTTGAAATAGGCACAAATATGGATCTCTTCCAATCAGCCAGTCAGATAGCTGTCTTCCAAATTTCTTGGCAGAGATGAGTGAGTGCCTCATGTGCCATCTCACTTTCTTGAAAGATTTCAGTTTTTATCCCATCAATTCCTGGTGCCTTGTTCTTTGCAAGTTCCTTCAATGCACCTTGGACTTCTTCCTTCAGTATCACTGGCTCTTGATTATATGCTACTTCTTGAAATGGTTGGACATTAGCCATTTCCTTTTGGTACAGTGACTCTGTATATTCCTTCCATCTTCTCTTGATGCTTTCTGCATCATTCAATAATTTTCCCAGAGAATCTTTCAATAACAAAAGTCAAGGCTTGAATTTTTTTTGTCAGTTCCCGCAGCTTGAGAAATGCTGAGCATGTTCTTCTTTCTTGGTTTTCTAATTCCAGATCTTTGCACATTTTGTTAAAATATTTGGCTTTATCTTCTCAAGTTTTCTGTTCATCTCTTGTACCTCCTTATTTCTTCCATTTTCTTTGGCATCTCTATGCTAGAGAGCAAGTTTCAGTGTCTCTTCTGACATCCATTTTGATCTTTTTCTTCTTTCTTGTCTTCTTAATAACATTTTGTTTTCTTCATGTATGATATTCTTGTTGTCATCCCACAACTCTTCTGGTCTTTGGTCTTTAGTGTGTAATGTATCAAATTTGTTCTTCAGATGATCCCTAGATTCAGGTGGTATATATTCAAGGTCATATTTTGGCTCTTGTGAACTTGTTTTCATTTTCTTCAGCTTCAGTTTTAATTTGCATATGAGTAATTGATGGTGTGTTCCACAGTTGCCCCTGGCCTTGTTTTCACTGATGATATAGAGATTTTTCCATTGTCTCTTTCTGCAGATATAGTCAATTTGATTTCTATGTATTCCATTGGTAAGGTCCATGTGTACAGTCCATCTCTTATGGTGTCTAAAGAAGGTATTTGACATGAACAAATCATTGATTTTGCAGAATTCTATCATGCAATCTCCAGCATGATTTCTATCAACAAGACCATATTTTCTATACTGATCCTTCCTCTTTGCTCCCAACCTTTTCATTCATCTTGATTGCATATTTGATCAATTTCAGATTGAAGAAATTGGTAGAATTCTATTTCATCTTCACTGGTTTTAGTGGTTAGTGCATAAATTTGAATAATAGTGGTACTAACTGGTCTTCCCTGTAGGTACATGGATATTATCCTATCACAGACAGTGTTGTATACCTCATGACTGATCTGGATATGTTCTTTTTGACAATCAATGCAACAACATTCCTCTTCAAGTTGTCATTTTTGGCATAGTAAGCCATGTGGTCATCATATTCAAAATGGCTAGTACCAGTCTATTTTAGCTCACTGATGCCTAAGATATCCATGTTTATGCCTTCCATTTCATTTTTGAAAACTTCCAGTTTTCCCAGATTCATACTTTGTACATTCAATGTTCTGGTTTTCAGTGAATGCTTAGAGCTAGGTCTCTTCATTTCGAGTTGTGCCCCATCAGCAAATGAAGATCCCACGGGCTTTTCTCCCACGGGCTTTAATCCATTCATGTAATCACAGTCAACTCTATTCTGAGGAGGCAGCTCTTCCCCAGTCGCATTTTGAGTGTCTTCCAACCTGAGGGGCTCATTTTCTGGCACTATATCTGACAGTGTTTCTCTGCTATTCATAAGGTTTTTAGTGACTAAATATTTGGAAGTAGTTTGTTTGTCACTCTTTCTTCCTAGTCTGTCTTTGTCTGGAAGCTCCTCTGAAACCTATCCACCATGGGTGACCCTCCTGGTATTTAAAATACTGGTGGCATAGCTTTCAGAATCACAGAAACTCACAATCCACCACAGTATGACAAACTGATGGATGAGTGGTGGACAAGCAATTATAAAGTGATTTTATTATTTGTTATTAAGTACTGTCAAGAGAGTTCCACTTATAGCGACCCTGTATAGGGGTTCTGAGGAGCTTCTGGTGAGTTTGAACCAGTGACCTTGCAGTTTAAATCGACCTTGTGGTCCAGTGCCTTATCCCACAGAACCATATCAGATGCTATCAAAGGGAAAGGAGCACTTAAGCTCAGGATTCAGGTTTGAAACTTCGGTGTGAAACTTTGTTCTAATCTTTATTAGCTATTTAATCCTCCAAAACCGATGTGCCCTGTCTAAGCCTCAAATTCTCAATCATATAGGGGAAAACAACAACTTGGACCCTGAAGAGTTTGGAAGAAGACTGACTGTGATACAGTGTGTGCCATTTTGTCATGCTGTGTGGTGCCTGGCCCGCAATGAATGGTAAATGTTTTTTTGTCTTCTCTCCAGAGAAAGATGTTGAACCTGGGCCAAATCCGTCCAGGAATATACTGGGCCTTATAATATAGCCTTTGCATTGAATTATAGGGGCTTTCTCATTAAATCACATAAGACACTTGCCAAATACTCAGGATTTTTGTCTTTTGTTTTCAAAATGAAAATCTTAACTACAAACAAAACCAAACAATTCCATTGCTGTTGAGTTGATTCTGACCTATGGCAATCCCATGTGCTACAAAGTACAACTGCTCCATACGTTTGTCTTGCCTGTAATCTTTATGGAAGCAAGCTTTTCTCCCATGGTTCCACTAAGTGGGTTTGAAACAACCTTTATTAGTAGTTGAGTGCAAACAGTTAGCATCACCTTAGAAGTTTACATTAGTGAAAATAATTCACCAGAAAATAACAAAAATAATTTAGGCTCTGTATTTTGAAAAGTCTAAATAGATACAATTTTTTTTTTTTTTTTAAGTGTCTGAAGGAAAGGAGACACAGCATCCAATGGCCCAATAAATAGAAAGCTATTTGTAAGCAAAATGTTGATCCATTGCTACCTTTTCAGCCTAGGCTTTTTCTTTCTAGGCTGAAGAAGTAGCAATGACTCCATATTTTGTTTACATGTAACCAAAGAGATAGATGAAAGTCATCATTAACTTACTGTTTGATGAACAAGGCAGCATACAAAATACTGGGAATTAATACCAAATGTTGTTCCTCTAAAATAGCATTTACAGTACTTTGAGCCACAAACTCCTGATCCAACAGAGGTAATAGAAGTGGGTATCTGAAATGACAATAACAAAAAGTGATTTCATTGTTGTCATCCTTAGCACTGATTTTTAACTTTCAGATATGGAGTTATACCATACAGCTCTAAATAGAATATAAACAGTAGGTATGGTCTTATGTTTCCTCCCGTGACCAATATTGAAACCAGTGCATATGTACTTTTTTCCTAGAGTGATTTTCTGCTATGTAATGGACATGAGGAAGGAGTGGCTTTTAGATTTTTAAAAATCTTTCTTCTCTTTTCCTTCCCTCCAAAACGAAATAATTACATTCTATGAAAAAACAAACTTGCAAAAAATTTTTATCAAAAAAGAAAAATCTCTCTTGTGCACATATGTTGTTGTTATTATGGGCCATGGTGTCGGTTCTGACTCATAGCGACCCCATACAGGGTTTTAGAGGCTGTAAATCTTTACAGGAGCAGAAAGCCTCATCTTTCTCCTGTGGAGCAGCTGGTAGTTTTGAATTGCTGATTCTGAGGTTAGCAACCCAATTCGCATATATAATGTATCTTTATTTTAGGTAGCCCATTTACTAGCAATTTACTTTATTTTAGGCAGCCCATTTACTACGAGAGCCAAAATATGATATTGAATTTATCCCTCCTGAATTTAGAGATCATCTGAAGAACAGATTTGATGAATTGGACACTAAAGACCGAAGACCAGAGAGTTGTGGGATGACATCAAGAATATCATACATGAAGAGAGCAAAAAGTCATTAAGAAGACAAGAAAGAAGGAAAAGATCAAGAT